GAAAAGTGAAAACATTTTCCGATCTAAGACCATTTGTAAAGTCCGCAGCAAGCGCCCCAAAAGTGAAAACGCCCAACAAGTTCCAAAACAACTTTTGTGCTGTGCACTGTGTGTGAGACGTCTCCTTCCTCCCCCCACCCCCCCCTGTTTGCAAAGTCAGCAGCAAACGCCCCAAAAGTGAAACGCCCCACAAGTTCCAAAACAACTTTGTGCTGTGCACAGTGTGAAACTTCTCCTTCCCTCCCCTCCCCCCCTCTTTCCCCCAAAATATAAGGGGAAGCGGTCCGGAAGCCGCTACATTATTGCATGCTTCAGGAATTCAACTGATGTCAACAATCATGAGTTGAAGCCAGACGGCAGGTGTACACAGTCTGAATTCAACCAAAGATTATGTATGAAAGTTGAAGCCCCTAAAATTATTGCATGTGTCAGGAACTCTACTGCGACAACACAGTCACCGTCCACCCCTGCCCAGACGGGAATGCACGACTTCCCTCCATCCGCTTCTCGCTCGGGAATTTCAAGCACTCTTTCACTCTCTTTTCAAAGTTATTTTCATCCTTCCCTGCAGTACTTCTTCGCTATCGGTCCCTCACACGTATTTAGCCTTGGATGGGCTGGTATACACAATATGTGCAAAGGTGTACACTAGAATGATTGTGAGCATTCCCTCTCTCTCACGTAAGACCGTCATCAAGCCAGCTGCGCTCCCTGTTAACCATCCCCCTCTCCCTGTCGCCACAACTCTCTCCCTCAGCCCTCACATCCCATCCCTGCAATGTCACATCCTTCAGCCCTCACATCCCAACCCTGCAAGCTGTGTATTGAGGCTGAAAGCTGTCAACGCCCTACCATGTCAGCAATCACCCATATGCACCACACACAGAGCAACCCTGAGTAACTGACCAAACACGCTGACCCTTTCTTGGGTTTGCTAATTTGCGTTTTCTTTCGTACTTCTCAATTTGAGAAAAGAGAGAGGCAATTATCCTGCAATGTTGCTCGCCACAATACTTACTGTATTCTTGAACTGTTTTTCAACTTTTTCTGACTTTTTCAACCTTCTCTCTTTTTCCAAACAACTAGGTACAGGCCCTACAGGGCTGGATTCCATTTTTGGCAATGCCACCCTTGTTCACCGACACTGGTCCAAAAAATTAGCTTACCAATTCAGCACACGAAAAATAGTAAAATACCCCCACGCTCAGCTCATTATGGTTTAGGATTTCACCAAAACCCATAGGAAAAAAAAACAAAACTCCAAATTTGCCTCCTCATCAATGCCTCACCCACCCCCTCTCCCTTCCTCCTTGTGTCAAACATCTAGGATCCCCCTTGGCATGGCCAAAAAACTTGCAGCGTTCAGGTGAATGGATTTTTTGCATACTTTCTTCTCTGACTCTCTGGAGTTTTTTTTTTTTTTTTTTAAATCACCCCAACCTGTTCCCGCTCATCCTCCCCTAACCCCCTTCGATGTTGTGCACAAGCATGTACAAAAGTTCAGTGTAACTACCTTTTTCAGACCCCTTTTTTTCACTTACGTCACTTAAAGCCTGCTCACATTTGTAGCTATTCGCACACAGATCATGACAGAATAATTCAATAACATTAGGGGCTACTCCTTTTCAAAAAAAAAGAAAAGCTGCACACATTTCGGTGCGGCTGGTAAAAAGCAACTTTTCAGAGCCTGTGAAAACTCCAGAACCGATAGGATTTTGACATCAACAATATGACTCAGATCTTTCTGCCAGGGCCTAATCAGTAATTCACCCCCCTGTTTCTCATGTTCTACATGGATATGGGCCTCAAGCGGCGAGCCAAGCCTTGCACATGAATGCATGGCATTCACGCAATTTCACGGTTGATGTAAAGCCTTGCAAAGTTTGCATACACTCCAAGGAGCTATAATATTTTTCCTTTCTGGCAACTGTTTTCCTTTTTTTATATATATGTGGAGTCCAGATCGTAGTAGAGGCTGGATGTTAGGCCTCGGGAGGCGCCTGTCACTGTACTCGACCAGTGGGGAGATCAGATGGTTTGTGACAGCCCCAAGGACAGTCTCCTCCAGGGGATATCATTCATGAACTTTTTTCTTGTCCTAATCAGATCGCAAGTCGAGCCCTACAGCGGTGCGACCCAGACCTGTCTGTAGACCTAGACCTACACCAACCCGCGCCTTCCGAGGGTCTCAGACGAGTCCCCCCCGGGCGCTACCATAGGGACACCCCGAATTCTCGAGGACGACCCGGACACAGGAGGGGTCACAGCTACTCCCCACCTGTACCACCCTTCTACTATCAATGTGACAACCCACCCTCCCCTGCCTAAGATGAAACCCCTACCCAGAGACCCTTCCCCAGATTCACGCCCTAATCGACCCCCCTCAATGGGAACGCAGACAGGTACCAGCCCGGATGAAGCCCAGCCGCAAGCATCGTAACATACACATGAGGCCCTCCCTTGGGAATCGTATATGCCTGACACCCAACCCTTACCACTACTCAAGGGGGGTGTAGAGAGCGGAGCCGGACCGGAACCAGGATTGTATAATGTAAGTATGGACTCTCATGGGTGTACCATGAGGCAGGGAAACTACTATGGGAGCCAGACACACCCATGACACACCCACAGAGCAGTGCATACGAACGAGGCGGCGCACACAGACAGGCCCACAATCTCTACACAAATTCCTATCTAACCTAATCAAGACCTAAGAGTACACGGGACACGACCCAGAGATGCCCCCACACACGTACGCACTCTCGTCGGACCACCCCAAGGCCAACCGCTCAAACAGCCCTCCCCCAAGGCCCGCTACCAGCATACTACAACCATGGACGAAACCCCTTGGGTGGTGTGCAGGCAGTGTCTGTAATAATTACCATGTGTCAGCCCAAAGGGAGTGTGTGAATGGTCGTGCGTTAGTCGACGCCCGCCGGGGTCCATGCGCAAGGCTGTGGAGTTTTGAACCCGCAACCTTATACCACAATGCGCATTTCCAAACGGTGCTCCACCCACTGAGCTACCGGCCATTCACCTAGCAACTGTTTTCCATGAAGCCTTTACTTCTTTCCCCTAAAGGTGAGGGAATTGAGGTATCGTATAATCAAAATGTTTGGTTCGAGGTAGTTCCAAGTTATTCTACTCATCTGATTACATCAGGGTTCGAACTCACGTCTGTTTGTCAACAGTTACATGGGTGTACCACTCAGCCACATGGGTTGGTTGTTTTCCATACAGGTTTGCTCCTGAACCATTTTCCTTGCCTTTTGTTCGCTGTGATTTTCTGATCTGCAAGAGAGTTATCTTCTCTTGAAGGCCAACCACTTATGCAATTACCCACCCTTGGTAATCAGAATTCAGATGGTTGGCAATTGACTATGCAAATAACTGAGCAAACACAGGAAAAGGACCACATGCGCAAAGAGCCCTGGACCAACCATTGGTTACTTTCGGTAAGCCACAGCAATCGATGAGCGATATTTATTGCATATGATGAACTACATTCAGACTGATGAGCTCAAGCTGGAGGGTGCTCTGCTGTAGTACGCACTAGAGACACAGAGCTGCATGAACCCCCTCTCATCAATCTGAATTTCTGAATCCCTTGGTGATAACATCCAATGCAACACATCAAGCATTTTCCGAAACTAGCTACAGTCAGGCTTGTGACTGAATAGCATAAGGTGATGGATTCGAGTGCCAATATGAATAGGAAAGCCTGCGTTGCATCAATTTGGCACTAGAAAAGCGGTCTGAGGAAAGGGGTTCTATGACAGAAAAGCGGTAATGCATCCAGGGGCGTGTGTGCGGTACTAGAAAATGAGTGTTGCATCAATTTGGCACAAAGGGGCATGAAGTGAAAGTTTGCGTTCTTTGTCTATTTACATACCTATCAGACAAAAAAGGACTACTTTGTTTCTAATGTGCCTATCAGGGATAGGAATCGAGGAGCCTGTTGCCGCTACAGGCGATCATGGCCCTTATAATGCAGATGTACAGGGTGCGACAACACCTACTACCCCCAAGTTGTTGTACCACTTTATGGCTTGCCACTTGCTCTTCACCGAGGAAAGGAGTCGAGGAGGACGTGGCGGCAAAGGCAGCGGAGGAGGAGGGATTAAGAGAAGAAAGCGGTGACAAAAAGATACTGAGATGACTATGACTGATAATCTGGATTCACAAGAAGAAACAATGAGCTCTTTCCTTCTCCTACACAAACTCAGAGTAATGGGCTTGAAAGTTGAAACCACAAAGAATACTTCAACCAAACACTATGCTAGAGGAGCTATGACCCAAAAGAATGAGCATGACAACCAGGGGGGGGAGGATACTAACAGAAAAAATATTTCTGTTATGGACTACTCGGTCAAGCTAGGTTACAGACTACTACAACAATCGAAAGACCCAGCGCCAACAATACGAAGAAGATGATGGGCAGTCAATCCCCTAGTCTGAGGGCAATCAATGCTGTCCGCCATCTACAGCTTACAGCTTGCTCTGTCTTTGTAATTGGGATGCTGGACCCGGTTTCCAGCTGGTGCAGCTCCCCACCAATAAGATTG